GCCGTCGCAATAGCCTCAGAGGATCTCGGATCCCCACCAGTGGTATGTTAGGAATGACGATAGTACGTCACCATATCCCGTGCATATGCAGTACATACAAGCAGTAACACATACGTCTTATCTTTACCTATGCACCGCATTTACTGTATTCCAGCACTTGGCTCGATATCCAAGACCGCAGCTGTCGGTTAAGAAGGAATCAAGTCAAAGCCGGTGGACCAAGATTTGACAAATTTTGCATTTTCTGTTTTATGATCATTGATAAAGGAAGTGGAGTGTAAACGTTCTGAAGGATTTTCGGAATGTGGTCAATTTTTTTTATATTTTTCTTCGACTAAAACGTTTGTGTGTTCTATCTGGACGCTTCAAACTAAGTACTTGCGCGACTCTCAAGGCCGTTATGCGCCTTTGGTATGCCACCGAATCCAGCGCGTCACAGCACCAGTACAGCGTGGCGGCACATCTAGTCTCACATTCAGCACAAACGCCAGTAATAGGGCGTCACCGTGCCGTGCCACAAGCGCGGCACATCATGCGTCACAACCAGCACAACGCTAGCGATAGGCCTCATACCTCGCCAGATTAGCTCAATAACTACCGTTAGGTCTTATTCCGTAATCGCCCCTTGCGCGTTGATTGCATACTATTTTTTTGTTCAGTAAATGTTCGGTTTACGTTTCCAAGTGTCATGTATAGAGAGGAGAAAAACTTTCGCTGTGTGCGATATTCAAAATAATTACCGTATCAAGCACTAAGAACTGTACTGCATTATTCCACACATGCAGAGTAGATTGCATTTTACACTTAACGCCAGAAAGTAAAACAGTTGAACCTGGTCGTTTTTCTTATATTCCTAAGGTTATATTCTTCTCTGAAGAACACCATCTTTACAGACCGCCAACTTTTGTATAACTTTCTCACGCAAATGATCAAGTTAGTAAATCAAATTGTTTGGTTGAGAGGTTGTCGGTGATTAACAAGCTGGGTAGTTTGCACGCTCATTGTGGAGGAACAAGCTTACAATTTGGCAGTGATAAAAACAGAAGTGTAACTAGCATGTAATCGAACGTAACCAGATTTAGCGCTAGAAGTTGACCAACGTCAAAACGCACTGTTCTTCTACACTACTCTGTTGCGCGCTTTCCTTGATCTAGGAATAAAATAAAAGAAACAGCTGAGTATAGCTTTTGTTTTGGTGAGCGTCGTCCCTGTTGCCTGTTGCGCATATGGTTTCACAAATACGTAGGTTGTGCAAAGCGTTCCAGGCGTGTTATACTGGATATAACTGGTAATTTTTATCGCCTGTATGGAAATAATTTCATCAGTCCGGTTTCGCTTGAAAAGTAGCAAACAGGGATGGTAGTGAAGACATGGCGTTGATCATTCGAAGAAGGTTGCCTTCCTTTGCTAAAACGAGAAAGCCTTGACCCTTCTCCCGGAACGACCGGTTCGCGTGGTTTTTTGCGAGTATTCCACAATGTTCTTGGCAGTTTGCCAGGTCATACTTGACCACCAGGGAAACATCCTGGGTGTCGATACCATATCTCATTACGTCCGTCGCCATCAGAAATTTCTGACCACCGCGCTTCAGCAAGGATTAAGCAAACTCAGGGTGCTCTGTGGTGTCTCAGTTAAAATTCCCACGTCATCATTTGACTTGCAGCCACTCAAATCGACTAGAAATGCTATCAGATTAAAATAATTGTCGGATTTAACATTAAGTACCGTACCAAAATACTTAAGTATTGAAAGATTGCGCTGTACGGACATTCATAACACACACTGGTTTGTGGTCATCTTAAATTAATTATTTCGATTACAAACACCGGTACAATACATTTCAGATAGAACTTCAATATGGAACACCGGCTTTCGGGTTGGGCTAACTACTCTCAATAATTCTATACGCGTACATCTGCTGATGTTGATCCGCACTCACATAAATTAATTTTTTTACCGCTTTGCAAAATCCTCTTGTATGCTAACGTGCATAATATTATCGTGTAGGTACCTCAGTTTCGCCCTGCATTGTAGTTTTACGAGGAAGGGGTTGTAGTGGATTGTATCCTTTGTACGCGTGGTGCGCATTAGCATTTGTGTTTTGTCCTTTTGGAATCCCGACACACCGAGAAGAATGCACAGCGGAATGCGCCGCGACAACGCCGTGGACGTTCTCTTCGACGACGGAATGATGCGCTTCGGGCGCGTCGTGGACGTGGCCGACAATGGACTCTTCGTCGATCTGCACTGCCCCACCCGACGCCGTGAATTCGTCCCGTTCGACCGTCTGTTTGTGCTGAGAAAGGCGAGCGAAGCGGATCTGGGTCGTATTTGCTCGAAAAACTCCCCAAACATTCCCGTGGAAGTGCTGGTGGAGGAGAGGCGGTTGGGCCCCTGGATTTGGGTGCCCGGTTCAAGCAGGCGGTGCCGGACGCGGGACGGAGCACGGGATCGTGGTTAAATGGCGACGCCCGGACAGTGGGAAGCGTCTACCGATTTCGTCCCAACGGAGCGGATCCGCTGGACAGTGCAGACGGAACTGAATCGACGTCGGCTGATTCACCTTCAGCGTGCGAGGGGGACTGAAGGCGAAAGTTCCTCACTGGATAAAGACGCTCCGATGCAAGACCATATTGGGCAAGGCCGATTCGCTAAGCGAGCTCTGCAGCTGAACGACAAATTCCGCTGCTTGTCTACTGAAGAAGCCGGGACCCTCGTCAAAGAGCTGAATAGGTGGTAACTGGATTTCTCTATCGCTGCGCAGTTGCCGTGGTGAATTCGTGGAATGGCGTTTCTCGTACATTTGCCAGCCTGACGCTGACGCTGACGACGGTCCCAGAAACCGATTAATCTTGGTAAGGGATCGTCGCAGTTTTGGTGTAGAATGATCGGCTTCATTGCTCGGGTTTCAGGCGGCAAGTTGCCAGCGGATTGCACGTTGCCAGCGGATTGCACGTTGCCAACTTCGACGAGGAGACGGCCTACGTGTCTGAAAGTTCGGCTGAGATCCCGACAAAACAGGAGACGATGGCCGTTCCAGTCGACGTGTGGCTGCAAGTGGATGCAGGTGGAGAAGTTGTCGCGCATCGCCCGTCATTTCCTCGTCCAGCTGGAAAAGAGCACGGCTCGCCAGCCAGACGCCTTTGAATTGTTGTTTTGAGCTTCCGCTTGTCGTTGCGGTGAGACACAGGAAAGGCGGTAGCAACATCCGTGCGTGTTGCCGGCAAAGAGCGGCCAGTAACGAGCTGGCGAATGTATTTTCCAGTAAAATATGTTTGCGGTCGGTGCTGCCAAAGCCCACATCAAGATGACGAACGTACAAAAAATAACAGCGGACAAGCGTATTCATGAGCACGGTTAGCAGGAATAACAACAAATCGGATGCAGATGTTTTCGGCAGATGCGGTAGCTAACAAGTGGACCATTTCACGTCCATGACGATGGCAGCGCCAACAACGGCACAGCACATGCTATACTGCGCCCCTCGTGTCAGCCGGTCCACATCGCCAGACGACAGCCGACCATGGCCCGCTCACTGAGAACATCTTCCCGGAAATGGACTTCTTCATTAGATCGGTTGGCTGGTGACGCCGCGGAAGCTGCAAAACGCCAAACAGGTTAAAGCAAACTATACACAGAGCACTGACGACAAGACAAATACAACGTCGCGGCTGAGAAAGACCTGATTTCTTGCGCTGTTCCATATGATATGGCAAATAAAGGAACGTTCTTAGTACTTACCGATTGTTGGCACGCCGTACGCGCCCGGTTGCGTCCCCTAATCGCACAGGCAACAAGGTGTTTTTGCTGGTCAGTTAGCAGCGGACAGCCTTGTTCGATCAGGTCGCACCAGTCGGCGACAGTCAGACGCTGGCCGCGCTTCATCAGTCCAAACGGGATGCGAATAGTGATCCGGGGAGCGTCCACGAAAGTGAAGGAGATATGGCATGTAATACGTATTAACGATCAACATGCGACGATTCCCCGCTAGCGAGTCAAATACACCGCGCACAGTGCCGATGTAATCCTCGTTAACTTCCGGACTGTAGCGGCAGAAAATGTCTTTCAGCACCAGAGTCCTCGGCGGTGTCTCTCGCAAGATGAGCCCACCACACGAGGACAGGACGTCGTTCAGTCTAAGACACTTTTTGACATGCTTCTCATTGGCCGAGCCAGCGATGGCCAGATTAGTCCAATGACAACGCGAACTGTCTTTATCGCGCTGAATTATATCCGCGGAAGCAGAATGTAAACAAGCCGATGGGCAGTCGGAGGAGAAGCGGATGTGCAGCAGATCCCTGACGCCGACCGACGTGAGGATACCGATCCAACGGTTACACACCGCCCGCAGGCGGCACTGTTCGCCAGTGTGCAGGCACTGAATGGCCTCCGTCAAAATCTCCACTGGCAGGAAGCGCCGCGCACCGCCGAAACTCCAGGACCTGAGAAAGCGGCGTGGCTTGCAGCTCTTGCGATGATGGTAAGCGGCCGCCGCAGCGCAGCGCTGGTTTCAGGCGTCTAAAGGCGGGTACGGCTTCCAAGTTCTTCCCGTCTGACGCGGAAGATAGCTTTCTTATTACGCAGACACATCATTATCCTGCAACTTCCGTATTACTGCATCAACTCTTAATCCCGTAACGTCCTTAGCCAACCATAACTTATTTAGGATTTAAATTTTTTTATTGCGCCAGCCCATACAGGACGCGGAACAGAGAAAATCAGTAACCATATTCCCAACATTATCAAAAACGCTGAGGCGACTGAGGAGAAGAGAGCAGTGGAAAAGAGAGACAAACTGGGAAACCTTTTGCAGTGCGACTGGTACTGTGAAGGGGGGGGTGACCTTTGCAAGCTTGTGTACTATCATGGCAGGCAATACATGTACTGCAGGTAAAAGTTTTGGTAAAATCTCGTTGCCTCGATAGGTTCAAAAACAGTTCACAGAAAGTATCGGTTGATAAATTTCTGATGAGGTCCGCTATAAGCATCCCAAACTCAAGTCCCAGAAACGGATTTAATACGGACTCCAGTCTACCAATCAGCTACACTGATGTCACTACGAGCAAATTTCTCAATAGAATATTGATCCCAAATCCCATGTAAAGCTGGGAGTTTCTTATCCGAAAAAGAAAAAGAATGGCTGACGCCACAAAAGCACACACTTATTAGGAAAAGTATGTACGACAGTTCGAGTAATAAGAGATGCAGCAAATTTAGCTCCCACATATCTATATCATGAACAGCACGATTAACAGCAAAAGGGTGTCCCAGGAAAAAGGGGCACAATGCGAATGACAGCAAAAGCGTAAAAAAAACGGTCAGGCTTGCATGGCTTCCGAGCCCGTCTTGGCCGTCAGTGTTTCTAGCTGGACGAGGAAATGACGGGCGATGCGCGACAACTTCTCCACCTGTAAACCTTGAAGACCCTCCAAGCACCACTGCTTCCCGCGGTAGTACGAGGGACGCGGATCGGCCGCGTGCAGCGCGCACAACACCTGCAAGATGACCATAGCGCAGTACGTTGGACAGCCAGAAAGAGACAAATGTTCGTGCCACCCGTACGAGCGGATTGTACCTTGCAGACGACCTGCTTCAATTTCACCTCGACACCCGGATCCCCTTTCAACAGCTCCAAGAGCTCCGCCACTTTCTCCTCATCCGGCACCGGCAGCCACGCGTCCAACGCATCCCACAACGCGCAGCCGAAATCCGCATCAATCGGCAGTCGCGCTGCGGCAATTCCTACCGAGACAGCGAACGTATACCTCCAACCGCGAAAGAAGAACGCGCAGCTCAAATGGACGTCGCAGTTGGTCATGAGGAGCGTGTGGCACGGCAGACGGCTGCAGACGGCGATGAAATTCTGCAGAGATTCCAAATCCCAGTCCACCGCCGGCCGAACCGTCGACCGATCCGCCTGGTGCAGGACGCACTCGCTTACGGCGGCGCTTTCCAAAGCCGAATGGATTGCCAGTTCGAAGTTAAAGGTGTCCATGTGCAGACTGCGCAGACGGACGCCGGGTCGCTGTTGCGCCAGGCAGTGGATCATCTCGCACATCATCGTCAGGTAGTCGATGGCGGCGTTCCTCTCCGGCATGTCCAGTGACCCGAAATGCGCCATCGTCACGTGCTGCGTGCCTGCTTGTAGGCATTTGTACAGCGTGGCCAGGGATATGAAATGGCTGAATCGCCACTTGTTGCCCGTGTAAAAGTACGCGCCCAGCGTGATGCGGCCGCTCACCACCGGCTCCTCCAGCATCGCGTTCCACGCTGCACAGACCGTGCACAGCCGCATCTGCGCCACGGTGTTCAGGTGCGAGAACACCTCCAGACACAATTCCGTCGAAATCGCCATCTTGTCGTTGGTTGGCGGGATCATAGCGAAATCACACACCCTGAATTTTTCCACCACAACCGACGCCATGATTTTTATTTCCATTGTATTTTCTTTTAATTTTTTACCCGACCGTGGCGCTGATTTGTGTTCTGTACGAGTAATAAGTAATAATTTTCGGATTTGTCATTTGTGTACAAGCGCACCGCGTCTCGTGCGGAAGCTTCAAAAATTATTATAAAAAAAAACACACTGGCCACGGATAAATAATAATGTTACATATTATCAGATTACCATATACAGCTTTTATCGAATAAATAAAAAATTTTGATATGAAAAACTACGTCGGAAAGAATAATTAAAAACACATTTTTTCCACACTAGAGTACGAGTATTGTAACAAGAGTAACTGCAACATGGGCTAGAACGAAGAATTGTTACGAGCACAGCCACTCCACTACGATACCCCACACCGATACCGCGGGCTTTCCAACACCACGTTACTTATGTTACGGATTATACTCGTACGGATTTAAATCCCGGCATTTTTATCTGCAACGGTGCCATTTCCATCAAGCCTGTACAACGACGGGGACGTTGCGAATGAATTTCGAAAGTACCCAATGCGCACTCAATGCTAAACAAAACCCTCAAGAACAAAATTATCACTAATATATCGTACTGTAATTATTATAATATTCAAAATTTTAAATTATAATATCTAAAATAATTTATTTATTTACGTCAGATTTTAAATCAATTAAATTAAAGTGATTATTTATTATTTCCCCTTGTGTTTACATGATTTAAGTGTGTTGATGAATTTTATTATCTGAATGATTATTTTACAGCAGTGCCAGTAATCAGAGTAATGCAATAAATTACACGTTGCGGTGCTCACTGCTCAGGCGTGCGTTTTGTACGAACTACGACCTACCGCCGTCGTCGTACACTTTCTGCGCCAGCTCCTCGTACTTCCCCGCCAGAAAACTCAGGGATAAATTCCCGGCATCCGTCGGCAGGTCCTCCCGCACCTCCGGGACCACCCCCAGCTCGCCGTCGTCCAGCGCGGGGGGTGCTGAGCCGTCGGCCGCTATCCAGTCCGCATCGCGTCCCATTCCCTCCGCGGTCCATCCTCACGCTTCAGTTAGCGATAAAAAAATGTTTTCTTCACGCGGATAAATGCCTGATAAATTGCACGTGGTAGGGTCCTGCGCCACGCCACATAACAGCAGACAGTGCGAGAGACAGCTGCAGCATTTTCTCTGGTTGGTGTTGCAGTTGCTAGACAGTCGGATAGCGATCGAATGTTGTTACGCTGTAACGTAAGGCCCGCGCTCAAGCTCTGACTCTGACTCAGACTCTGACCGCTCAAACTCTGACTCTGACTACTCAAAGTCTGACTCTGACCGTCCAAACTTTGACTCTGACTCTGACTGAATAACCTAAGAATAACTTAAAGAAACCTAAGAAACCTAAGAAACCTAAGAAACCTAAAAAACCTAAGAATAACTTAAAGAAACCTAAGAAACCTAAGAAAACCTAAGAAACCTAAAGAAACCTAAGAAACCTAAGAAACCTAAAAAACCTAAGAAACCTTCAGAGTCAGAGTCAGACTTTGAGCGGTCAGAGTCAGACTTTGAGTAGTCAGAGTCAGAGTTTGAGTGGTCAGAATCAGAGTCAGAATCAGAGTCAGAGTCAGAGTTGGAGTCTAGGCCGTAACGGCCCCGACTGCAGTGTTTTGTCAACTGGGAGATGGTATCGATAGAAAGGTTTTGCTGAACACGCGAAACGGTTCACGCTCCAAAGATTAAAGATCGCACAAAACGAAAGCGGAAAGAGAGACAAAAATACTAGTACTGCGAAGACGGCAAATTGCCCAAGCAAAGTCCACAGCAGAGAGTGTGACTGTGGAAAGTTTCCCGTGCCCCGTGGCGGTTGGCCTGCACGCAAGTGTGAGGAATGCCGTTGCCAGCTTTGACGAAGCGGGGGCTGCCTGGCCCGTACGACAACTGCTGCTTACCAGAACAAATTACTCCTGAGTTCTTCTGCTGAAATTCCCTGAATTCTGATGTGCATTCCTTTGCACTGGTGTATGGAATCAAACCAGAAATTTGTCAGGCCAGGAGTTTTGTATAAATGTGCTGCTAGCCTGGTAACGCCATGCTTAGATTTTATTTTGAACTGCTTTCCGGTGGCGGAGGCACAGTGAACACTGCGCAGCCACTGCCATAGATATCCTCGCTACGTTGCGAGACATCCTTTGTCTCACCAGGTTTCGCAGTGAACTTTCGCTGCCATTTTGTTGCAGAGTTCATTCAAAAATTTTTTTTAATGATAAACAATTAAACTCCGGTTTGATAAATTTGGAAATCTTTAAATCTCTATTGGCCTATTGGGGACCTGTAATAGTGTAATGGCTAGCTACAAAGGCTGCAAAAATCAATGCATATGCGGAGGACACACAGGGAAATCCCAGTACATGGTGTCAAAATGGGATACATCATATATACACTAAATCTTTCGCTTTCGCGCGCTCGGAATCACTTTTTTTTGTAATACTTCATGTCATTGTAAAGCTAAATGATTTGTATACAGTGTTCTGAAAATCGTTTGCCACAACATCCGGTTGCTGAGATATGGCGAATTAAAATGAGCGATCGAGTAAGTTTGAATGCCTTGTTGTGTCCCAAAAGTCTGCTTAAAAAAGTAATTCGCAGTGCGCGAAAGCGTAAGTTTAACTGTTTTAGTGTATGTATGCCATTTTTGACACCATGTACCGGGCCATTTTCCTTAAGGGAAATTGCCCGGTACATGGTAACAAATTCTTGTACATGCGCGCAAACTTTCACTTTCGCGCACTCCCAAACAAATTTTTGTTTCGGTTTATGGGATTTTGTAGCCAGATGATTTGTATACACTGGTGTGAAAACCGTTTGTGCGCGCAACATCCTGTTCGGGAGTTATGGATGTAAAAAAATTCCCAAAAGTTTAAATGCATTCAGTTGTACAAAGTCTCATTATGGACGGATCTCCTTTAAATTTTGCACGTAAATGCACACGGCCATGAAAATTGTTTTTACACCGATCCAGACTTCCACGATTTTTTCAAATTTTAAAATGAATTTAAAAATTTTTGAAATTATTTTAAAATTTGAAAAACATGCTAGAACAGCGGATCGGTGTAAAAACGTTATTCGTGGTTATGTGCATTTCTAGCAAAATCCGAAAGATATCAGTCCGTAATGAGACTTTTGATACACCTGAACGCATTTAAACTTTTTAGAATTTTCTAACAGCCATAACTCGCGAACCGGATGTGGCGCGCACAAACGGATTTCACGCCTGTGTGTACAAATTATCTGGCTACAGAATGTCATAAAACAAGAGAAAAAAGGTTTGGGAGTGCCCGAAAGTGAAGGATTTGGTGCATGTACACGACTTTGGTACCATGTACCGGCTGACTTCCCTTAAAACGGATAACCGCAATTATCGCATTATGGAAAGTGATGCGATACATGACGCCAAATTCGTGTGTATACACCAAAATTTTTCACTTTCGCGCACTCCCAAACACTTTTTTGCAACGCCAAATGATTTATCTAGGTTTGATGTGAAAACTGCTTGTACGCGCAACATCCGGTTGGGAAATCAGAAGTTCGGAAAGTTTTAACGCAAAAAGGCATACCAACAGTCTCATTATGAACCAATCTCCTGCAAATTGTGCACCAAACTGCAAGAAGCACAAGAATGTTTTTAACACAGAACCGGAAGTCTTGACATTTTGACATAAATTTGAAAATTTGAAAACCACGATGGAAACCTGGTTTCGTGTCCAAGCGATCATTATGCGGACGTTCAGTTTTGTGCAACCGCTGAAGGCGGTCCATGATGAGACTGTAGGTGCACCTTCTTGCGTTTAAACTTTCTGGAACCTTTTTTATCCATAACTCCATAACCGGATGTTGCGCATAAACGGTTTTCACACCAACGTGCATAAATCATTTGGCTACAACATGCACAATAAAACGACGCAAAAAGTGTTTCTATGTCAGCGAAAGTGAAAGATTTCGTGTATGTACACGAATTTGGCTCCATGTACGGGTCACATCCCTTATAAGCAAGACTCACAAGACAGTAAACATTTATGCACCCCACTTCGTGCAGAATAACAGGTGATGTTTGCTTACAAAAGCTACAGTACGTTTTTCCCATAGTGTTTTACTTCAGGCATCCTAAATAATAATTATCAATTATGCTGCAGAATTCGTACATTCCGGCAAGTGCGTTTTTCACTTTTATAGTTCTAGTTACGCATGCATCTGTTCAATGTACAAGCCGGTCCGGAGTTAGAGCACCTGAAGGTACAGCTAATGCATCATGAACTCATGCAACTAATGAATTTACATTGTTCGCTGTTCTGTATCGTGCTCTAACTCCGGACAGGCTTGTACGCATACAATGCCATACATGTACTGTATGCATATTTTGCATGCTAATCGTGTATATTTATACTGTACATATGTAAAGTATTCATATGTTATCCTTAACATATACCATGAAACCCGTGAAAGGGTGGTGCCAATACGGTGCTTACTTCGGCTGGGCATCGAATTGATAAGAAGCGGCAAAAAGGTCAAAATTAATAATACAGCAGAATGCGCCAGCGTAATTCGCGTAACTCGGTCGCGGTGCAGCGCGCGCTGCACAATCCGCGTGACCTTTACGTTCAGGTTTGCTGCTGCCACAGTGGAAGGTTCCAGCTCAAAAGGTCCCGAACGGTCATGAACGGAGTGATCGCCACTAACTTTATATTACACAAAAGTGCTGCATCCTGAGGTGTAATGATACGTTGAAGTTTGTGTTTGAAGATTATGCGCGACCTCGTCTCATGTTAATTGAGACACGTTTATTGGATGCTGGTTCTTTCAGAAAAGCGTATTCCGTTAATGCTGGTTACCTAGTCCAATTTGTAGCTGTCACGTGATTGATTGCATCGATCATAATACACAAACAAATCTGCCCGAAAGAAACGCAGAAGTGTGCCGGGGAAGTATATACCCCCGCGTTTTTCGATTGTCAAGCTTGGAAAGCGTCCAGTCTTGCATCGGTCTCGACGGTCTTGCACTCGTACAACGCAACTACAACAACGTATGTAGTACGTACGTACAGATACAAAACGGGGACGCCAGTACCCGTTTTTGGCCAATTAAACTGGATGATTTGCGACCGAAAGGTAGCAGGCCAGATTACTATGCCAGCGCAGTTGCGCTGGTGAAGGCCACCGTACGGCAGACCAGTTATTCGCCTTGCTGCTTACGTAATTCAGAAACCCCCACTTGATGATGTCTGAAAGCTCTTTCACGTTGTACGTACATCAGGGTGTGGAATGACGTCTCCGGCAATAAATTTGTTAGCGAGCGTCTCTCTTCCGTTTGTCAGCCGGTAGAACCGTCTAAAAAGCCGTCCAGTCCATTTTTTCAACTCCGCCTTAAACTGGATATTTCCTGCCACAGACTGCGTTCGAGCAATGCCTGCAAAACTTTGCGAGGCAGTGTGCGAAGCAAATAATTTTTTGAATTTTTCTAAAGTAATTCCGCACATTAAGAAGCTCTTATTCCATGGTACGTAAATACAAAGTTGATAACCGATAACAACAGTGTTGGTATTTTACGATACAGTTCCGGTTTAATATTCTCTTATTCAATTTATTATTAAAATGTGCTTTATATTGAACGTTTCTCAAGCGTATCTTATACTGAATGTACCTCAATTTCGCTCTGCAATTTAGTTTTAGAAGGTAAGCGTTTATTGGGCCGCATCCTGCTTTGTACGCGGTGGTGCATTGCGCATCAGCGGAAGCGCGTTTTCCTTTTCTTAGTCCCGATACATCTTCGAGCATGCCGAGCGGAATGCACCGCGAGAACGCCGTTAAAGTTCTTTTCGACGACGGGATGATGCGGTACGCGCGTGTGGTGGACGCGGCTGAAGACGGACTCTTCGTGGATCTGCTCTGCCCCGACCGACGCCGTGAATTCGTCCCGTTCGACCGTCTGTTCGTGCTCAGCAAGACGAGCGAAGCGGACCTGGCTCGTATTTGCTCGAAACAATCCTCGAACATTCCCGTGGAAGTGCTGGTGGAGGAGACAAAGCTGGGCCCGTGGATTTGGATTTCTGGTCAAGCAGTCCGTTTCGGACACGGGATGGAACACGGGATCGTGGTTAAATGGCGGCGTCCGTGCAGCGGAGAAGATTGCACGGATTTCGTTCCCAGCGAACGGATCCGCTGGACAGTGCAAACGGAGCTGAATCTGCTGCGGCTGGCTCACCTTCAGCGTAAACGTACGACGGGAACCGAAGATGCCTCGGATTACCACACAGTGCTGGATCATGTTGGCCCAGGCACCTTCGTCAAGCAGACTCTGCAGCTGGACGACGTATTTCGCTCCCTGTCTACGGAAGAAATCGAGGCGCTCATGAAGCGGTTGACCGGGTCTGAACTGGATGCGCTGGACTGCACGGTTGCCGTCGTGGATGTCGTCGACGGCCGAGTGGTGTACATTTGTCGACCGAGTCACTCCCGACGAGACGATTCCTGGACGCGGCGTGTTCTGGTGAGGCATCACGATCACTTTGAGTGTGAAAACGATCTGGTTACGAGTTTTGCACGGATTGCAGGCGGCCGTCGCGAGTTTTGACGAGGAGATGGTCAGCGTGTCAAAGCTAACGCACGAGGTCCCGACAGCACACGACCAGATGGCGCTTCCGGGGGAATTATTCATGGAAGTGTTCTCGCACCTAGTCACCGTGACGCAGATGGGGCTGCGCGCGGTCTGCGCAGCATGGAACACGATGCTGTATGAGCCAGTGCTGAGCGGGCGCATCACCATTTCCTTGGAGGAGTACACAGGCTCCCTGTGGCGATTCCACCGCTTTCTGCCAATGGCGACGGTTTATAAGCGTTTGCAGCGGGGTACGCAGCACATTGGGATGACGCATACCGGCGTAAGGAACATGCCGACGAGGAGCGCCTCCATCGAGGACTTGATGCAGTTGTGCGTCATGATCAATTACGTGGCGCAGCAGCGAACCGGCATCCGCCTGCGCAGTCTGCATCTGGACAACTTCAGTTTCGACGTGCTGATCCATTCCGCTCTCGACGGTGCTCGCGTAACTGAATGTGTGCTGCACCAAGCGGATGCCTCGTCGGTCAAGACGGACGTGAACTGGGATTTGCCCCAGCTGTCGGATTTGATCGCCGTCTGCAGTCGTTTGCCGTGCAACACCCTTCTCCTGACCCGCTGCCGTGTGCACATGGTCGGCGCGTACTACTTTCTCGAACAAGTGGAGGAAATCAGTGTCTCGGTGAAGATCCGTACAACGCGGCTGCCGATTAATGCGGATTTCGGCTGCGCGTTGTGGGAGGCGCTGGACGCATTCCTGCCGGTGGCCAATGAACGAAAGCTGCAGGAGCTAATGGAGCGGTTGAAGCACGAGCAAGAACTCGAGCAAGTCGTCTGCAAGGTATGCTTCACAATCACCTTCGTTGGCTAGCAGCGAAAAGATGGTACTACCCAACGGTTGGGTTGCAGATGTTATGCGCGCTGCAGTCGGCCGATCCGCGTCCCTCGGATTACCGCGGGAAGCAGTGGTGCGTGGACGGTCTTCGAGGTATGCAGTTGGAGAAGCTGTCGCGCTTCACCCGGCTCCTGCTCGTCCGCCTGCAAACAATGACGTCCACGCCGTCAGGCTTCGTAGGCGTGCAGTCGTGACCTTTTGGTTGGGGCGCGTGCTCGGTATTCGGGACTGACACGTCATTATAATAATTATCGTACATATTGCTGTCGCTTTCCACTATCTTCGTCGCCACGTCTTTGAGTTGTTCTTAACTGCACATTAAGCCACACGAAGGGAGGCTCCGAAATGACTTTTCCCTTCACTCTGTTTAGAGCTTGATGCTGCTAATCAGTCCGCAGAGTGATCTTGTACATTGTCTTTTGTAGTTGCGTCGTTCGATTGATGTTACTGGTCAATAAACTTTTCGGTGTACGATCGTTGGTTGTTGTCATCATCATCTTGTACGTTCTGCATACTTTTACATGCATCTGTGTTTTAATAGACAATCAGCAAGAGGCGTTTTAATAGACAATCAGGCGGTGCCGGGTGCAACACCAGTTTCATATGCTAAAGAGTTGAGAAGGATGTACAGTAATGTTTTATAAGTACAGACGTAATAACCTCGTTGCAGCAAATCTGAGATACAAGCGTTGACGTAACACAACTTGATTATTTCTATTAAGAACCTCGAAAAGAAGAACCTCGCTTCACAGTATTAAGAACTTCGAAAACTGTCGCTAAGAAGTGGGCCAGGCCACTTCGACGTCGAATTTCGTGCTAGACACAACACAATACATCAGATACTGCGCCATCCTGGAGCAACGTTCGACCTTCATAGCTGCGAGTGGAACCCGGGCAGAGCCCGGCTCCAAGTAGACCGTAGATGTTCGCGGATGATTATCTTGCCGGTGCTTGATAATCTGTAAAGCGTTAAGCCCGGTAAACTCAACTGTGCGTAAACCGCTGATTATGTTGAAGAGAACTCTTAAATTCCTTATAATAGCAATGGAACGGCTGTCACAACGATCTCTGCACTCTCTGAATATTACGAATAAAGCAATGCCCTTACGTCTTTCAAACACACAGCGTGCGCCAAGCCCTTGGTGCCGGCGAGCACACGGCTCCGTTGTTGCTCATCCAGCAGCGGACAGCCTTGTTCAATCATGTCCCACCAGTCGGCGACAGTCAGACGCCGGTCGTTGCGCATCCGTCCGAACGGGATGCGGATCGTGATCGATAAAAAGCCGTCCTTCGGCGAACTGCGTATGTCACACTTAAAGTTCTTCACAATCAGCGTGCGACAAATCGCCGCCAACGAGCCAAAAACCTTGTAAAGGACGAGAATATAATCATCGCGGACAGCCGGTCTAAGGCAACAATTCAAATCCTGGAGCACCAACACCGGCTCCGCGGACTGCACGATGTTATGTAAGAAGGACTGGCTGCTCACGGCCCATGGGAGCAGGTCAAGGCAAGCAGACGATCCCGTGACCACCACATAATCCACGAATTGACTGGTCGGACCGAGTCTGCACGTGGAAGGCACTTGAATGTGCAGTTGGCGCTGGACGGCGGCCGATGTGAGGATGCGGTTCCAACCGGCACAAACCGATCGAAGACGGGTTTTATCAATTGTGTGCAGGTACTGGAAGGTCTCCGTCAAAATCTCTACGGGCAGGAAGCGGAGTGCAACTTCCAGGTCAAGGACCGGCGCTCGCGGTTCCAGCGGTGCTGTCGCCATAGGGTCGATGTATCCCCCTTGTGACTTCTGGCGCTTAATCACGGGGACGTACAATGCCACTGCGTTCCCGCGCCCCCGCTTCATAGTCGGCGTCCCAGTGGCGGATCCGCTCGCATTCTTGGATACCGGAGACCTGAGGACTGTTTCATCCTGCAATAAGGAATTTGGCTTCTGATGATATTTGGTCTAAACTAATAATATTTTTAATAATATTTGGTCTATATCTATATACACACACACACTGAACACAGCATATAGTTTTAGTTTCTAAAATTTCTTACATATAACACTGTCGATTCTTCTATGTAACGATCCAGGTCCTCCTTAGACGCCAACGCTCGCGAAACCTGCAGTTCCCGGATATTATCGAACGGGCGTCTCAGATAGTCCTTTCGGACTAACATTTCTTCAGCGGTGCTGGATACGTGGACGACGGCAGCGTCCGGTCTGCAACGGACGACCGTTACTTTCTCCCATTTCCACGGGTCCGCGGGACTTAACTGCATCAGCGCCTCCACGGGACCACCAGTCCCTGCAACCAGTTCACCGCAATGCACGCAAGAAAACGCACGCAAGTAATGCGCGCCCTTATTTCACTGGCACTTTCCACTTCACCCAACGTTTGCACTTTCACACCAACGCTGCATCGCGCTGACCTTAAACTCTTTACAGTTTGGTGCTCGCAATATAAATAAATCGGATTCTTATATTCAGATTACACGAAGTGAAAATGTACCTGATATGCACTGTGAGCGCCGCAACATTACGAAGAAACGTAACTGTTCATGTGAAACGTGAACGTCTTAGATTACCTGATGCCGACCGTATCCACCGCTGATCATCGGCCGCTGCCACGGGAGACAAGAGAGCCCTTTCCAAAGGAACCAATTCCCTCCGCCGGCCTTCGCACTGAAAATCCACAAACACTCCGCTCTGCGAAACGGCGATGGCTCTGCCGCACTCGTGTACTCCATCCTCTCCAGGGACCTCCAAGACAACAGCGGACGTCTTCGCGTTCTCCATTAAATAAGCGCTTAACATCTCAGAAGTGGCAAAATCTGTACCAAACTTATAATTCACTGTCACTGTCTCGTCGCGGACCAAATTGGCGCGACGCCAATATGGATCAGCGACGCCGCGATGCCTGTATATAACCGCGATGCACCGCGACACTGCATATCCCGCAGTCAGGCATACTTGCCGCGACGCCGCGATGGCCGCGATGCCTGTATATAACCGCGACGTACCGCGAATCTGCAGACACGGCAGGACGGCATGCCTGCCGCGACGCCGCGATGGCCGCGACGCCTGTATATAACCGCGACGTACCGCGAATCTGCAGACACGGCAGGACGGCATGCCTGCCGCGACGCCGCGATGGCCGCGACGCCTGTTTGTTACCGCGACGTACTGCTGTCGTGCCGTAATACGGCACGACAGCATGCCTGCCGCGACGCCGCGATGCCTGTATATAACCGCGATGCACCGCGACACTGCACATACCGCAGCCAGGCATACTTGCCGCGACACCGCGATGGCCGCGATGCCTGCATATAACCGTGATGCACCGCGACACTGCACATACCGCAGCCAGGCATACTTGCCGCGACGCCGCGATGGCCGCGATGCCTGTATATAACCGCGATGCACCGCGACACTGCACATACCGCAGCCAGGCATACTTGCCGCGACGCCGCGATGCCTGTATATATCCGCGACACTGCAGATACGCCATGGCAGCATGCCTGCTACAATGGCCTGATTGCCAGTTTATGACCGCGAAGCACCGCGACAGTAGCCGTATGACAGTTAGGCATAGCTACTGCATTTCGAGCGATGCCCCGATTAAGGGACAATACTGAACTAGTTACATGCTTGGGTTGAACTTGTTTTGGAAATGTACTGGTGTTGATCTGATGAGGTTCAACCTCAAAGACCTGCGTTTTTGGATTACAGCTCTTGGTCTACTTTTTTCTCTTTTGTTCGAAGAATAAAATGATTATGACGCTTCACACTTCTGGCAGGAAACACGTTGTTACAAAATGTTTGAAATCATTATTATTAGGATGCCAAAGACCATAATGTAAGAACAAATGCATCTTTACGTGCATAACATATAACCTTTATTTTAACATAAAAAAATTCAGCATAAAGTAAACCAAATAAGCAGAAGCCGTAGTTAGATTCATTCCGATCAGACATTAATGGTGAAAACTCTGCAACTACCACAAAACTGGACCAAAATCAATGAAAACGTTTCGCTGAAAAGAAAAATCCCAATCTTTCTGTCTCTGACGTCTCACGCATTTCAGTTGTCTGCCTTGCAGGCAGAACATTTGTAAATTTTTTCCGCTTTTTTCGTCAATGGTCGTTTTATTCCTTGGCACTTCAGGTGATACCACAGCCTGCAAACCGTGCATCCAATTCCTGGATCGTCCAAGTCAATATCGCACGCACAAAGGGAGCACTAAATAAATAAAGTGTCTTAAAACCATTTAAATAGACAATGGTGCCCTAGAGTGTCCGACAGATTTTATGCATGGCTGCTTGAGCATCTCGCTTCGGTTGAAGTAAATTATTAGTAGACAATCCTCAGATTGCTTAGCGGTTTGCACCAATTACAGCATGCAAAACTAATGCGCTAACACGGTTACGGGTAGATGTCATCAGCCGTATATTAATATTCAACATAACTGTTACGAAATTCCGAGAAAAGCCAGAAACGCATTTCATGCATACAGGTTGCACCGCGTTTTCTAGAAAACAAGAAAAGCATTCAGTAAGAAGCTTCCCAATGTTTCGAAAAGTTCTCATGCGAATCTCGTAATATGAATCTGTCGCATTAGACGGAAGAGTGCTGTACAGGAGAGCTACTGTGCAGAATTTACCGCGTCATTAAACGCTAATAAACTGCATCTTCTCTATTATAAACAATAGTGTGAACATACTCTCCGAGTCCTGGCCTGCACAGCTCATCGTAACGTGAGCTTGTGCGATGACTTAATCGCGTCGAGCTGATTAAAAATTTCCCTTTTCTACGGTTATCTTTACAGAGACCTTGTGGTGCATTACGGACTCAAGCGCACGAGAAAACTTGCTTTAGTGCTGTAATCATTGATTCCCCAAGGCCACTAATATTCTGAGCGCTTCAAGGGGTATGCTCCAATTACTGGCACATGCTTGCATTTCCATCAAGTTTGTCAAGCTGGTTTTTTTGGCGTGGACTAATATGAGCTTTGTGACACAAATTAATTTAAGACCATGGGCGTCTATTTGAGGGGTTTTTATAACTTTTAACTGACTTGAAGGGTGGGCTTTTGTTATGGGGAGCTTGTAATGCAGAAGGTGCCTTTAATTCGATAATTAGGTATACTGCAGTTATAAGTGCATCGTCTGGACGGATAAATCACGAGCAGCATTCAGTGAATACTTCGATTTTTATCGTTTTTGAAGTATTTTTAGCTCACCGTGTTTTTGTTAGGCATAACGAACTAAAGCTGATCAAAATTATTACTTCCCATATTAA